CCTCTTCAAAAGGGTTTCATCGTCTTCGAAATTGATTCTTGTTTAAAACAAGCTTACGAGTGTAGAACAAACCCTAACAGGTGACGAGACACAACCGGAATAGAAGTTCACCGGCGACGGCGGCGAGGCTTTCCCGGTGCCTGTCGTTTTTTCTCTTCTAAGAAAAAAAAAAGTCAACACGGTTTGGGAATAAAATAAAAAGTCAACACGGGTCAAACCCGGATGGGACACGGGTCAGACACGGTTTGGCATGATAACCGACATAAAATCACCTAGGGATGCGTGCCAAACCGCGTTAAATCCGTGTCCAAACCGCTGTTAAACCGTGTCTCAATAGCCGGAATTTCATTCAATTTATATAGACACAATTTAATAAGTATGGGCCAAATAACATTTTTGGGCCGCCTATTATGAACCCAGAATGTATAGAGAGGCTATATTTTCCTCTTTTCCATGCGAAGACTCAAACGACGTGTCGCTTAGTCCGATTAAAACGGGATGCAGTCTTTGTGTTACACCATAAAAACGGCCCAAATACTACTCGGCCCAAACAAAAAAGGCCCAATTTAATAGCTCATCGTCTTCTTCTTCTCCGGTCGTGGCCGTCATTTGAAAGGGTTGTGGCACCTACGCAGCCTCAGAAAAACCTCACCTTTACCATCAAAAACCTCAAACACCCATTTTTTTGTCTCTCTGTTTTTCACTTCACAGAAGAAAAGCATAGAGCAAAAAAATCTGGTCTTTGGATCTGTAAAAGGTCGACTCTTTATAGCAATCTTTCAGATGTTCTAAAACGCTCGAGCAAAAATGCCTTATTACTCTGCAATTTTCCGAGGACATATCAGACCTAACGCCGTCTTTGGTGCTGCCTCCATGTTTATTCAACATAATTCCGTTCAGCTTTATCGGAGCCATAAATTGTTGTTAAGACCATCGTCTTTAGTTAGGTCTCTTCATTGTCGGAGGTCTAGGGTCTTGTCTGTGAGAGCAGGTCGTGGCGATGGTTCTTCTTCTTCGACTCTTGGGTTAGAGTGGAGAACATCAAATTTACCTTATTTTCAGAAACAAAGCTCTGGTTATGGAAGAATTGCTTACAACGAATATGAATCTAGTGATGAGTCTGACCATGATGTTGGGTCTTCTTCTCGGTCTCAACAAATGGTAAAAAATTGGAAAATTTTCAAGTTTTGGTAGATTTGAGAGGTTTGTTTTGGTTTTGATGTGTTTGCTTATTTGTTTTTTAGGCGGGTTCGACTCTTGATAACATTGATCAATGGAGATTTAAACTTACTATGCTTCTACGGAACAAAGAAGACCAAGAAGTTGTGTCAAGGGAGAGGAAAGATAGGCGTGATTTTGATCATATCTCTGCAATGGCTACTAGAATGGGATTACACAGGTGAAGTTTTTTTGTTATGTAGTGAAGTGAAAATGTTATGCCTTTTTTCATCTGGAAGATTTCTAGAGATGTGTTTTTGTTGTTTGCAGCCGTCAGTATTCGAAGATTGTTGTCATTAGCAAAGCTCCTTTGCCAAATTATAGACCTGATCTTGATGATAAGCGTCCACAAAGAGAGGTATATTTAATTGATCCATGTGTTCTCTATATGTTTCTTCTGTGTGTAGCTTTTGTTTACCAAGATAGGGAGCTTATAGATTGATAAGTTGCATACTTGTTTTACGATTTTCTTATTGGAGTTTCTTGAATAGTTAAGTTGTCAATTCGTACATGTTTAATGCTTTGTTTATTTTCATGGTGTCATCGATTCATAAGGTGGTTTTGCCTTTTGGCCTACAAAGTGAAGTAGATGCGCATCTACATGCTTTCCTCGATCAGAAAAAAATAACGATTCCGGAGATGCCCAATCAAAATAGTAATGAAAGTTTTGCAACTGATTATGGAAACTATGAGAAACCAGAGACAGTGATGCAGAATAGTCTAGCCAGGGAAAGAATACTCCGTCCTAGAAGTTTGCAATTGAGGAGCAAGCAACAGCAATGGGTGGTAGGTTTCTTTGATGTTGTAGCCTTATATTCTGTACCGCTCCATATTTAGTTTTAATAATGTATAAGTTTTTTGGCAGGAATCTCCAGAAGGCCAGAAAATGGTAGAGTTTCGGAAAACCCTTCCTGCATACAAAGAGAAAGAGGCACTATTGAAAGCCATTTCAGCAAACCAGGTGAACCATAATTCTTCCGTTTTATTCAATGTAATCATATCAACTAATCAAGAATCACATTTTTTTTAACTGTTTTACTTCCTTCGCATTGTGTGCATCTTACAGGTCATAGTGGTTTCGGGAGAAACTGGTTGTGGTAAAACAACGCAGCTTCCCCAGTACATATTAGAATCTGAGATCGAGGCTGCACGTGGAGCTGCATGCAGCATCATCTGTACCCAGCCTAGAAGAATATCTGCTATTTCTGTTTCAGAACGGGTTGCTTCAGAACGTGGAGAGCAAATAGGAGAATCCGTAAGTTATTTATACGCTCTTGTCTTGAGCAGTTGGGTTTGTGAGATATGTTGACCGCTGTGGGAATATTTAATTTTAATGGTTTATTGGGATGAACTAATCTGATTTCAACGCTAATGCCCCTGCGAGAAAATTCTGTATCTTGATAAGACTATTTTGAGGTTGACATATGCTCTTTCCACTTGGAAGGTTGGCTACAAAGTGCGTCTTGAAGGAATGAGGGGGAGAGACACACGTCTGCTGTTTTGTACTACTGGTGTTTTACTTAGAAGGTTACTTGTGGATCGTAGCCTGAAAGGTGTGACTCATGTAGTTGTTGATGAGATTCATGAACGTGGGATGAATGAAGGTAAAATTTGGTATTTTACTAAAGAGGAATCCAACTAGTACTGACGGTATCGTATTCACACAGTCTTTCTCTTTTTATTCTGCTGTCAGATTTCCTGCTTATTGTCCTGAAAGATCTCTTACCTCGTCGACCTGACCTAAAGCTGATTTTAATGAGTGCTACTTTGAACGCGGATCTCTTTTCTTCTTATTTTGGAGGTGCACCAGCCATGCATATTCCAGTAAGTTTCTGTTTATGCACATATTTCTTTTCTCCAAACCCCATGAAATGTATTTCAAGTTGCCGAAAAGAAGGTTGAACTAAAGTGAAAATTCCTGTACAGGGTTTTACATACCCTGTCCGAGCCCATTTTTTGGAGGATTTTCTTGAGACTACTGGGTACAGGCTGACAGCATATAATCAAATTGACGATTATGGTGAGGAAAAGACATGGAAGATGCAAAAACAAGCTCAGTTCAAAAAAAGAAAATCTCAGATCTCCTCTGCTGTTGAGGTAGGGAAACGTTTGTTATGTTGCATTACCGAATTCGTATGTTCTCAGGTTATTTGCTGAAAGTATGTTCCTTTTGAATTTGTGGTCAGGATGCTCTTGAAGCTGCAGACTTCAAAGGATACAACTATCGTACTAGAGATTCTTTGGCATGCTGGAGTCCTGATTCCATAGGCTTTAATCTTATTGAGAATGTGCTTTGTCACATTGTTAAAGGAGAGAGACCTGGTGCTGTTTTGGTATTCATGACCGGTTGGGATGATATAAACTCCTTGAAGAATCAGCTCGAAGCTCATCATCTTCTAGGAGACCCCAACAAAGTTTTGTTGCTTGCCTGTCATGGATCCATGGCCAGCTCTGAGCAGGTACTTCTAATATCTATGTTTGCCTATCTATTCATCCAAGATACAATACATGCTATGATGTTAAAACTTGTCTTGTTCCACTCTTGTTATCATTTTTGTGATGATGTTTTCCTTTTTCTTTCTACAGAGGCTGATTTTTGAAAGACCTCCAGAAGGAATTAGGAAAATAGTGCTGGCCACCAATATGGCTGAGACAAGTATCACTATCAATGATGTTGTATTTGTGCTTGATTGTGGTAAAGCAAAAGAGACGTCTTATGATGCGCTTAACAATACCCCTTGTCTGCTTCCATCTTGGATTTCGAAGGCAGCTGCTCGCCAAGTAAGAGATTGACATCAATAATTGCTTGCTCAAATTTCCTGTGTAATTCACGTTCTCTGCGTTGTTAATAACTGTGCCTTTTCTTCTCCCCTGTTACAGAGAAGAGGAAGAGCTGGTCGTGTTATGCCTGGAGAATGTTATCACCTTTATCCTAGATGTGTCTATGAGGCTTTTGCTGACTACCAGCAGCCAGAACTCCTAAGGACTCCGTTGCAGTCTCTATGTCTACAAATTAAAAGCTTAAGACTTGGAAGCATTTCCGAATTTCTTTCCAGGGCGTTGCAACCTCCTGAAGCTTTATCGGTAACTTTTGTATTCAGTTTTTTTCTCTCTCCTCGTTGGGCTATCCTTTGGGTTTTAACATCAAGTCTTGACGGTCATGTTGATTTTTCAGGTCCAAAATGCTGTTGAGTATCTAACGACTATTGGTGCTCTTGATGACAACGAAAATTTAACTGCTTTAGGTATATTTCTACTGAAACACTTTTCTATTATCATACTTATCTCATGTCTCAAGTTCTGGCATAAACTCATTATATTTGCAATGCAGGGAGAAACTTGTCAGTGCTTCCTGTGGAGCCTAAACTTGGAAAAATGCTTATTTTAGGAGCTATTTTCAACTGTCTAGATCCAATAATGACAGTTGTTGCTGGTCTTAGTGTCAGGGACCCATTCCTTATGCCATTTGACAAAAAGGATGTAAGCTTCATGTGATTCATCCATATTGGTTTTGGCGAAAAGACTGCTCTCAGATGACTAGAGTCCAGTAGAAAGCCAAGAAGTACCTCTAATTATTCACTTGATTCCTTTTATTGCAGCTAGCTGAATCAGCAAAGTCCAAGTTCTCTGCCCATGATTTCAGTGATCATTTGACATTGGTTCGAGCATACAGTGGTTGGAAAGAAGCTGAAAGACGACATGCTGGTCACGAGTATTGCTGGAAGAACTTTCTCTCTGCCCAAACTCTTAAGGCCATGGACTCTATGCGGAAACAATTCTTCTTTCTCCTCAAAGAGGCTTCTCTGATTGATAACATTGAAGGTTGCAGTAATCTTAGTCATGATGAACATCTTGTCCGTGGAATCATCTGTGCTGGCCTGTTCCCTGGAATTTCTTCTGTTGTTGTGAGTTGTGGTCGCCTTTGCATTTACATTTCAGCTCTTCTTTTTTCCCAAAAATCTGTAGTTTTACTCAACAATATAACTATTCCCCTTTACAGAATAAGGAGAAGTCAATTACACTCAAGACAATGGAGGATGGGCAAGTGCTTCTATACTCAGTGAGTCCATCTTTTTAGCTTACCCGTCTTCAAACTCTGAGGTCCTCAGAATTAAAATCCTTAGCGGCTTACCAACTTGTTTTTTCTTGTATTTTCTAGAGTTCTGTGAATGGCAATGTACCAAGGATTCCCTTCCCATGGCTAGTCTTCAATGAAAAAATCAAAGTCAATTCTGTGTTTTTGCGAGACTCCACTGCTGTATCTGACTCGGTGCTTCTTTTGTTTGGAGATAAAATCTCTTCTGGTGGATTTGTAAGTTATAACCCCATCCTTTTTTGTCAATTTTCTTCCTTGTTTTAACATCTGATTTACATTGAGTTGTCTCTGTTGCTCATAGGATGGTCATCTCAAAATGCTGGGAGGGTATCTAGAATTTTTCATGAAACCTACCTTAGCATATACATACCTTTCGTTAAAAAGAGAGCTCGACGAACTTATTCAGAATAAGGTAAAGCTCCAAGCCTAGTCCCGATGATACATCTTTTGTTGTCTTTACTCTATTTGACAAATTTGTTTCTGGTCTTTCTACAGCTTGTAAATCCAAAACTTGATATTCAACTATACGACAAACTTATGACAGCCATTAGATTACTTGTGTCTGAGGACCAATGTGAAGGCAGATTCGTCTTTGGCCGAAAAGCTCTAATCCCTACACCGGCAAAGAAGTTGAAAGCAGTAGGGACTCAGCTGCAGAACAGCAGCGGGGAAAATGACAAGAACCAACTTCAGACATTGCTTGCCCGAGCAGGACACGGAACACCTGTGTATAAGATAAGAGAGCTTAAGAATAACCAGTTTCGCGCTATGGTTACTTTCAATGGATTGGATTTCATGGGAAAGCCATGTGGTAGTAAGAAAAATGCAGAGAAAGATGCAGCTCGTGAAGCTTTGTTGTGGCTACAGGGCGAGTCCAAGTCGAGTTTGAATGATCTTAACCACATGTCAACGCTCTTAAAGAAGAACAAAAGTAAAAAAACCACAAGGGCGTCAGCTAAATGGGGTTAAGGAGAGAGCCAAAGCGGAAAGGTGAACCCGGGATGGTGTGAACATTTACCAACCTCATGATCTCTCAGGTTCAATGTCAGAAAGAGCCGTTATCCGAAGATTCTTTTAGACAAAATACCGAAGGAAATGGCTTGGTGGGTTTTGGTTGAAGTTTTCAGATTTGCAGATGATTTATTCGAGTTCTTGGTTTGGTTGGAAAAATCAAGAACCCAATCAAGAAAGGTGACTTCACAGCTCTCTAACAAATTGTTCTGTAGTGAGATCCACAGAGAGTGTCTCTTGGAACTG